CCCCCCCGCCCCCCCCCCCCCCCGCTGCATGGGGGGCTCTGTATAAGCCCCCAGATCCCTCTTGCTCCCCCAGCCCCCCCATTGGCTGCCCTGCCCACCGCAGCCCTGGCCCTTTAAGAAAAAAAAAAAAAGACAAAAGCCCCCACCACTCCTGCAGCAGCCTTGGGGCTTTGCAGGGCTCCTGGAAGAGCCCCCCATGTGACATGGGGCAGCGAAAGGCAGTGGGAATCGCTCCTTGCCGGGCAGGAATGCTGAGTCGGGGATTACTCAGGCTTTTTTTTTTCTTAAAGGGCCAGAGCCATGGCAGGCAGGGCAGCCATGGGAGGGGCCGGGGGGCTTGTGGCAGAGCCTCCCATGCAGTGTGGGGCAGTGGGGACCGCCTCCCGCCCAGCAGCACTGAGTCGGGACTTTTTTTCCCCCAAAGTGCAGGGAGTTGGGGTGGGCAGGGCAACCATTGGCCTGGCTGATTCAGATTCAGCAGCAGCCAAATCTCCAAATCAGATTCAACTGAATCAATTCAGGACAATGATTCAAATCACCAAATCGAATCACTGTTCCCCAAATCCGCTGAATCCAAAGTTAATGTCAGCTGCTTCACACAGGCCTACTTAGCAGATGCAGCTCTCTCATGAAATCATGACCGACCAATTTAACAGACCAATATTTGTCAGGAGAAGCAAACCATAGATCATCTCCTGAGATGCCCTGTAGCACCACAAAGCTCCCCACAAACTCTGGCAACACTAACACCAGCAGCAGCAGACTGTTCTGACGATTGGGAGCAGACCATCTAGAATGGGTGGACTGGTGGTATGATGAAGAAGGCTGAGTGTGGTGAGGTCATGAGGTGAACTGAGAGCGTCATGAGGTTGTGGAGCAGGCTGAGAGTGCCAGGAGGTCATAAGCAGACCAAGCCAGGGCTGGGGCCAGGGCCATTCCCCCCTGCAGGTGCTTCAGGCCAAAACCCCACCTCCCCTTCCTGCTCCCTTGGTCCCCACCCTGCCTGCTGCTGTTGGTGGGGGGGGCATCAGCCCCTAGCTCCAAGGAGCAGACCCAGGGGTCCCCCTCTGCCTCCAAGGAGCAGGGGAGGGGGAGAGGCCTCACTCCCCTCCCCTCTGGCCCCTCAGTCCACACTATCACAGTGGATCTCCACTGGCTGTCTCTGTCTGTGTAGGGCACTCTGATTAGCTGCCAAGAGGGCCAATCAGAGCGCAAATAAAACTTACAGACAGTCAGACTTAGGCCTTTCTAGTACTACAATAATTCCTGGAGACTCCAGGGCAAACCCTAGTCATGAGGTGGGCTGAGGGTGTCATGAGGTGACAAGTTGGTAGTGAGTGTGGTGAGGTCATCAGGCGGGCTAAGTGTTGTATTATCTTAAATGGGGAGACTATGGTAAGGTCATAAGGTAGGCAGAGTATTAAGATATCATAAGCAGAGGGCGTGGTGACGCCATGAGGCGGGCTGAGTGTCATGACGTAATAAGCACCGAGAGAAGCCCAGGGCCCTTTTCAGCAATTTGCGACACGAGAACTGCTTTTCCCGTGTGTATTTTCAATCAGGACCGGCGAGCGCGGACCCAGGCGCAGCAGCACCGCACTCCACGGCCGCACCCCCCGCGCAGGCGCCGGATGGAGCTGGGGGCTGGACGCTGCATCCTCCCAGCCTGCCCCGCGCGGCCAAGATGGCGGCGCGCATGCTGCGGAGCGGAGCAGCGCGGGGGCTGTTGGCAGAGCAGAGCGAGCGGGGCCTGTTCCAGAACGTTTTCCCGGCGGCGGATCAGCTCGTGGAGCTGCTGGCGCCGGGGCGTCCGCCGCTTGCCGCCTACTGCGGCTTCGACCCCACGGCGGACTCGCTGCACGTCGGTCACCTCCCCGCCCTGCTGGCGTTACTGCACTTCCAGCGCGCGGGGCATCGCGTCATCGCGCTGGTGGGCGGGGCCACGGCGCGCCTGGGCGACCCCAGCGGCCGAGGCGCTGCCCGTGAGCCGCTGCCGCCCGAGCGCCTGCAGGCGCATGCGCGGGGCCTGAGCGATGGGCTGCACCGCGTTTTCGAGAACCACCACCGGC